ATCTTCAAAAGTCAAGGGACCACATTGGGTTAAATTATTAGTCGGAATGCAAAATTGAGAATGAGCCATAGTCAAGGGACCAAAATGGGTAAAAACTCTGACATATTATGAAAGTCAAAATTTTTATTTTACAGTGATTATATTAATAATTGACTTACCAACTACCTAAATTTACTAGATTATAATTGTTTGTTTTTATTTCTATCAAAACCTCTCCGATATATGAAAAAGATACCTCAAACACTTTTAATCATGTGTACAGATAGCCTAGATAATACTCTGATCTAAACCTCATTAACATAATGACATAGAGTTAATACCCAAAATGGTCCCTCGACTATGTCATAATTACCAATTTGGTCCTCAACTACCATTCTTACCCAATTAAGTCCTCAACTATGTAACTTTTACTCAATTAAGTCCTCAACTATACAATTCTTACCCAATTTAGTCCTCAACTATACAATTCTTACCCAATTTAGTCCTCTGTATTAATTTGACTGTTTGTTGACTGCCAAAAGTCGGGATAAAATTATAATTTTACAAGATTTCTCCTTCCTCTCCATTTAGCAGCGCCAAACCATGCAGCAATACACTCCGATCAGATTTCGATCGTCAAAAAATCGTTGGAAATCAAATTTATGGGCTATCCGATGCATAACCACTACTTCAATACTGACAGGTTTAGAACCCAACCGGAGCTTATTGCTACATGGTTTGGCGCTGCTAAATGAGGAGGAAGGAGAAACTTGTAAAATTACCACTTTATTTCCACTTTTGACAGTCAACAAACAGTCAAATTGACAAAGGACTAAATTGGGTAAAAATTGTATAGTTGAGGACTTAATTGGGTAAGAATGATAGTCGAGGACCAAATTGGTAATTACGACATAGTCGAAGGACTATTTTGGGTATTAACTCTAATGACATATTATGAAAGTCAATTTTTTATTAATTTACAGTTATATTAACAATTGACTTATCAACTACCAGAATTTACCAGATTATAATTTTTTGCCTTTTTGATTGTTGAGGATGTCCCACATCATACCATTCAACTGGTGAATTGCTGCAGATCAGAGTTGAACGAGACTGTCTTGGGATGATGATATGATGACAACCTTATCAGGCATGGATTTGATCGGTGAGGAGTATATTATATTATATTATATTATATTATATAATAGTGAATTGATGGAAGTGGGTAGCTAGCAGGTAGGTTCAATGTATGTAACATGGAACCTCATCCAATGTATCATCTTTACCAAAACTACAAACACTACAGCAGCGTTGATATTCGTGCAGTATTGTGGGAATGGAATCAATGCATGGATAGAAAGTGGATAATTATTAATATTGTAAGGAAGAGATCAGAAAAGAACTAACATGCATGCATATATGAAGGTGGTAGCTAGGGAGGGTAGTGGGGGTTATTGCAGCAGATCAGATCAGAGAAATTAAAGTGTACGTGCGGCGTTGGTGGAGGCCGGCGGCGGCGTAAAGTATATATAGCAGCTAAGGACTAAGGACTAAGGTGGTTGAATTGTATAGTAATGCATCAATTAAGTGTCACGTAGGTAGAGTCTTTAAGAGCCAGGTGTAGTTACATTGTGTGTGTGTATATATATATTATTATTCCTTCTATCCCCAAACTGTGGAAGTTGGCTTAGCTTCTTTATTGCATGTCTCCCTTCAAGAGCCTTTCACAATCACCCACGACTCCCTTTTTTTATTATCTTTTCCAAACCATCACGCCTCATATATCTATCTATATCTATATCTTTTTTCAGGCATCTGAATAAGCAGAGGAGGAGACTCGTATGTACTATCTCATTCACACTTATACAAATTGTTAATTTGAATTTTGTTGATTAGTATATCAATTATTATCATTTATAATGGGGTATTTAGTAAATATATAGTTTTTAACTAATGGAATTAGTGAATTTGACTAGTTGATAATATGCTACGGTAAAAACAGAGATTTTTTTTTTATATACAAAATACAGGAATGACCTATTTCGTACAAATGCTACTTTTCACCTATAAGTGAGTAAACTTTAAAAGAAAAATTAAAATTCATATAATATTACTCTTAAGGGGGTGTTTGCTTCATGTTATATAAGATAACCAATGTTATATTTGTTTGGTAATATAAGATTATATATCATGTTTGGTTCAGGTTATGTAATTTTTCCAGAGAATGTCAGATAACCTTCGCATTAAATTTTTAGCTATTGGAAAGGAATGTGAGATACCCTCCAATTTCTTAGGTAATCTCACATTCCCTTTGTCTTATTACTAATGTTGGGTTTTGGACGTTTTAATCAATTTATCTTATTACCATTGTTTTATTTACATATCTTAGTTTTAAACCAAACACAGAAATCTAACATTTCCAGCAATCTAACATTTCATAAGGTAATCTAACATTTCGTGAACCAAACGTCCCTTAATAAGTCTTAAAATGCGTTTATTTTTAAGAAATGCATTCAAAAACTTTTTAAATTGCAACAATGATCTCAAAGAGTTTTGAGATTTTTTTATTTTTATTTTTTGGGAACAAAAAACGTGTTTGAACGCAAAATAAAAATTGTCATATATCATGATGAGTTCTCCTTTTAATGTATAGTACATTATTACTTGACTAAGTTGTAAAGGAATTGCACCCGTGACCCCAAATATAGAAAGAGTAACGTAACTGCTTACGTCACCCCAAATCTTCAGAACATACATGGTCAAATTCATCCAGGTCATGACTCCAATACTTAGGTCATGCTTACGTCACCCGAGGGCCACTACTTTGGAGTGCTCAATCGATCGGGAGATTGAGGTCCGGGAAGTGAATTGCAAATCTACCACTTATTCTAAATCAAATTAGACCCACTTATCACTGTTTGTAAAATAGTTAGTCTATAGGTCAATTAGATTGACTTATCACAAATTGTACTTCAAAATGCTAAAATTCAAATAGCTACTCAAAACAACTGTTTCAATTAATTTTTTTAGAAAATAAATTATACCAAACAGGTATCAGCTAATCGCTAATTACCAAACACCTTTCTACAATCAGTTAATGTTATTATCAACTAGTTATACTATCTAATTAACCCAATCAGCTAACAGCTAGCAGCCTTATTTAACAAGGCCTTCATAATTCCGTTATGTCATCTAATTGATATGAATTGCTACTTGATTGGTCTTTTTTTTTTTTTTTCTAGGGTACGTCATGTTAGAACGATAGAATTTGTATCAACCGATGATATTATTAATGTTCAAATCAAGTTTAAATACAGACTACAAAATGGGGTTACAAGCAATAAAAAGATAGAGGAAATGCATGAAGAACAATTATAAGACAAAAAATATAATTAAGCTACTACAAAATAATAATAAGTTTTCAAAAGTTAAATGTTAAATCAGAGATGTATATCAACTTTTGATCGATCTGAGCGCTGGCCATGTTAACGGTGGGAGGTTAGAGGTTGACAGGTAGCAAAAGTAGCTAGCTTAGCTTGATATTTGAACCTTATAGTATTGGTGTCTGTTGCTATATATATATCTTCCAAGATGATTTCAGTGCTCTGAAATTCTAATATATATATATATATATATATATATATATATATATATATATATATATATATATATATATATATATATATATAGTGTACCTATATCACACACAAACTATATACTATACATACTAAGTATGGAAATTGAAAAATGACTTCCTCCAAAAAAGAGAAGTCATTTTCCCCCAAAACATATTTATTTTCCGTTGACTATAACATCATTTTCTGTTGACCTTATTTTCCTCCCTCTTACCAAATACGGAAAACCCAAAAAATATTTTTCATAAGTCATTTTCTGGGTATCTAAACGCACTTTAAGTGCTCAAAGTGATGAATAGTTATGAAAATTTGTCTAAATTTGTAAGTTTTTGCTTGAATTTTGTGTCATACTTGTTATTGACATTTCTTTTTGGGGTTAAATTTAACATGAGGGAGAAGAGAAGCAAAGTAAGTCACATAAATCTTGAGAAGTGAACATCTATACCATCTTCAAAAGCATGTTATAATAAAGACATTACTTTGGGCAAATTAGAGTATAAAATACTTACAAATCAGCTGAATAATGAACATACAATTCTAATGTCATCTAATCTGTAAATCTATTAGCTTCATAATAAATATATTTTATACATGAAACAAACTCGATTACACTATAACAATTCCTTAATTGCCTAAACTAGATTAAAGTGAAGGCCCCCCAACTCTTGTCCACTTCATATATTCTTTCAAATATTACATTTAACGCTAATCATCATGAAACTTTTGTTCCCACCGAAATTAAGTTTTTGATGAAAATTTGAGACACGATTGTACGAAAGATTAATAAACAAAAAAAGTTAGATGAATGGTATAGTATATATTGTTGAGTGTGCTTATAATCTAGTTTGTGTGGGTCAGTGCATATGTAGTCTATGTACAATAGTTGGAGCATAATAAGCTTCGTAAACAAAATAAATTGTATAATTGAGCTCCCTAACTAATCAAATTTTGACCTAAATCCCTTATAAAGTCGTAAGCGGGCAAACAAAATGAGATTAAGCCCTACAACAACTTATTCAACAAATTATTATTGATTTTGTGAATATGAGTACTTTTTGCGTCGACATGAATTCTAATTGTAGATTTTATTATTTTATTTATCTTTTGCACTATTGAGTATCATACGACGAGTGTAGCCCAAATTAAAAATTATAATTCAATTTTAATTTTTAATTTTTCTATATTTAATCTAGGTTTTATGCTTATCTTTCCCCCTTTCCTTTGCAATGATCTCATCTTATGTTGGATGGTATTTAATATAGTTATATTTTCTTGAAAAAAGGAACTGTTTTAAAATTTACCCCTCTTCTTCCTGATATTGCACTTGAAGTGTTTACATTTTAGAATACTTTCATCCGAGTCCTACTACGCTACTATTCGTGTATTTTTATTTTTTCAGCCATAGAACTAGTCACGAAGCATCACGCTTGCAGTCGAAAGGGGAAAGATGAACCCTTCTGCGCCTCTGCGTCCTCCTCCGCTGCAGCCACCGCCGGTGCCGGCGCCGGCGCCCTCTGCAAGCTTTCATCTGCTGCCACCGGCACCACCGTCCTCTACAGGCTTTAACCCCCCGCCGCAGGCCACCAATTCCGCACCTCGCATTTTCTTCTCTCCCGGCTTCCACATCCCTCCCACCGCCGCGGCGGCGTCTGATATCCCCGCCGCCCTCTCCGCCCTCACTTCTCTCCTCCGCCTATCTCAAACCACTCTCGATTCTCTCTCCAGTATACTCCCGGCCACGTCCGCTCCCTCTCCTCCGACTACTCTCGTCCCTTGCCCTTTCAACCCTACTCACCGTCTCCCCCCTCCCTCGCTATTCCGCCACACTCTCCATTGCCTGCCTTCCTCTTCATCTGCTTCCTTGGATTCTCTAATTCAGTCCCGCCGCTACCCCCATACCCTCCGCTCCTCTGCTCAGGGCAACGATGTCCAATTCACTCATCCTCTTCACGATCCCCAAGCCGAGCTATGCTTCTCTCTCGAAAGCTACTTCGATCACGACCAGGATAGTTTCTTCTACTCTAATTGCCCCGGAGTTGTAAGCTTCCCTGGCAAGGATCCGTCCCCTCCAATGCTCATTTTGCCCGGTTTCTTATTGTCTCATTGTTCCAATTCCCAGGAAAACTGTATTATAGATCTGAAGGAGTTTCATGTTAGCCGTACTCAGCTTCTTCCTTCTGAAATATACGCCATTAGGGTTGAAGTTCATTCATGGAATGATTATCCTTGCAGCTATTCGTATAGAATCCTCCGGGCTATACTGCGGTTAGAAATGAGTAGTTTGTGTTCTTTGCCATCATGGTTGATTGCCAATTCACCTAAGTATGGTGTAGTGATTGATGAGGCAATGAGCAATCATATAGTTCTGTTGTGTAAGCTGTGTTTGAAAGCTATTGTTAGTGAATCTGTTGGGTTAGCTAATGCGCCTGGGAAACAAGAAGGGGATAAGGAATCAGTTTCGAGTGATCGGAGGCTTGAATGCCCCATCTTAGTTCGAGTATTGATGTGGTTAGCGTCCCAGCTATCTGTATTGTATGGTGAAATGAATGGAAGGTTATTTGCAATCAACATTCTAAGGCAATGCATCTTGGATTATGCATTGAAATCATCCTCTTTTTTTTCTGGACTTCAACAAGCTACACTGTTACGAGAATTAAATGAAGTCAACAAAGAACATGAGGAGCCACTGGAAAGTAGTAAATCACATGAAAGTAGAAAGGAGAACAATGGAAATGATGTAGAAGGTGGAACACTCAGTAAAAGCATGGTTTCTGTTTCTCAAGTAGCAGCAGCTGTTGCTGCATTGCACGAAAGATCAATACTCGAAGGAAAGATCAGAAAGCTGCAGGACACGTGGCCAGTTTCTGTATCCCAACGGTATATTCACATCCGTGTTTATAGCTTGGTGATTTCATAACATTTTATTGCAATGGCATTATGCATCAGATTATGTGTGGAAATGATGGTATGCATGAATTAGGAGTACTTAGATTTGGACTTGCTTTAGACATTTGCTTGCATTATCTTATATTTTGGTTCCGTATTTCTTTGCGCTTACACATTGGTAGGAACTGGCAATCGTCAATGATCTCTGCTCTGTCTCTTTGTTTCTTTTATCTACTTTTCCATGGACTAGTGGGGTGGTTTTGTGTCAAAGTAGTTGGGGATAATGTTATGTGCACCCTTTCATAATGACAATACTACAGGGTTAAATGCACTCTCAACTTAGGAGATATTGCAATAGCATTTATTTCAAATGTTCAGCATCTCAGAGGAGGCATTTTTCTTAGTCCTGTGGATTAAGCTTGTTTGGAGTAATAAACTTATCCACCTTGGGTTGGGACCAATAAAACCGGAATAGCAAAAGCAGAAAGCCAAATGAATTCTCTAATTTTTTCTTACACCTTTGATGTTATAATCTAAGATTGGGCTTGGGTCACTCGACTAGGCTATAATGCGCATGAGTGGACCAAACAAGCTCTACCATGTTATAATCTAAGATTAGGCATATAGGCCAAACCACACTAAAAGACTGAATCAATCAATTAACTAGTCTAACCCATGGCCTTATAAACCCATATGTTCACCCTTATTTTTTATCAATGTGGGACTCTTAACAATTGACAAGAAGAATAATGATCTCTAGAATCTAGCTTATCTCTCTTTTTCAGTGAATTTGGTTAACGGTGACAAGAACTCTGTGTTACCATTCTGACTGTATTTTGATAATCTGACAACAGTTGGGTTACTTTTTTCCCTAATGTACATTAACATTTGCAATGTGCTATTCTTTTCTTATGGTTAGTTATTCATGATGTTGAGCAAATAGCTAAATCTTTTGCATTATATAAGATAATAACATGTAATCAAATTATCCTTTAGAAATGTGGAGCATGCATATGTGGCAAAGACAGCAGATGAGGAGAGGCAGAAACGGCCCAACTATAAAGCTGTAATTGACCATGATGGGCTTCTTTGGCAGCGGTCGCATAATAATCAGGTAGGCGATTGCCATGTTACTTGTAAATTGTATGGGTAAACTATTGACTGCAACTTTTCATTCTTTCCAAATCAAACCTCCACCCCACACGTAAGATGAGAAAAACACAAGGCAATGCATAATAGAGCACTAAAGTAATTAGAAAAGTCAGGATTTTGCTTCCCTAGTTATTTATTTATTTTCTTTTAGATATGGAAACTGCACCACTACTAGAAATTATAAAGGAGTGTGTGACGGTGTAGAGCGTACATCACTCTTTTTTCTAATTTCATTCTTCTCGTTATTACCAGGAAACAAATAAAATGAAGACAAGAGAGGAATTGTTAGCTGAGGAAAGGGATTACAAGCGCAGACGAATGTCATATCGTGGCAAGAAAGTGAAGCGATCAACTACCCAGGTAATACTTGATTTCACACCACTGTTCCTGTTGTTATAGAGAAACAAAGTTTGAAGTCTCATGCCAAAATTACCAATGGCTACTTGTCCTGCATTAAGCTACTGAACTTCCTCTTGTTTGTGCATCTTAATTTGTCTAATTCCTTTGCTCTATTCTCATGAATTCATTTCCTGTGGGTTATACCCATATCTGTTAGGTTATGAGGGATATAATAGAGGAATACATGGAGGATATTAGGCAAGCAGGTGGAGTTGATTGTTTAACAAAAGGAGAAGAGGCACAAGCTTCTATCTCAGGGAATTCTTCAATGCAAGGCCTTTACAGAGATGATGCAAAGTCCATTAAAAATAAAGTGGACTCATCTTTAATGAGGGAGCAGTCACATCACTATATGAAAGGATTGCATTCTCATAGAGAAGCCCAATCATCAGACTTCAGAGATGACTCTTCCAAAGAGAGCACTCGAGATAGATCTCATCACTCTCATGGAACTGTAGTTGCAGATAGAAGTGTTGGGAAAAATGGGCGTAGCAGGCGGGATTATTCTAGAAGCCCAGACAGGCTACAAAGCAGTACCTATACAAGCAAACAAGCAAGTGTACGGAGGAAGCATGATGATCAAGAAGCGTATAAAGAAGATTTTTCTCACAGCTCCAGTAGAAAACACCAAAAATCACATGATCGTAAGAGTCCTCACAGAGAGAGAATTGAGCGTAATTTAGACCCTGGAAAACGGAGGCGAAGGGAAACATACCAGGATCGTAGATCAGGTTCTGCTTTGTGCAATGAGTTCGAGGACAGATATAATCCTTCAGAATCTCATGATATCTACGAAGATAACGTCTAACTGTCATGGTAAGTTGGCTGGATGAGATCATTTGCTGTTATGATGAGACTGGTTTCCACAAAAAGTTAAGATTAAGATTGTTGAAGTCTGAGTGGTTCTTCCTCCAGTGGGGTAAGTAATTATGGCAGGAATTGTCCTGAATACCTCTTATAATCGTTCTTTTTCAGAGATAAAACTAATATCATTCTTTCTTTGGCCCGTTTTCTCTTGAAAACTCGCAGTAGAAGTGAAACAAACAGGTTTCTGCAGTTTCATCTACATCTGTATCCTCCTCTGTATCCTTAAAATGATTATTCTATTATTGCTTATAGGTAAGTTTCTTTTCATTGTTACCTTCTCTTCCCAAAAAGGAGATTTCTGTCTTTTTTTTTTTTTTGTGAGTTGCTTTTATATACTGATTTGGCATGGCCAGTTACTTTAGGATTTAATTAACTAGTACTCCTAGATTCTCTACTTGAACAGATCTCTGACTGGGTTTCTCTGAGAATATAAACAATGCAAAACTTTTAAAACTATGCAGTAACACACACTAAAGCCCATACCTGGGCATTGATGCATGACTTTTCTGGTACGACTTCTAAGTCTTCTAGGGAAAGTTCAAAATAAAACACAATAATGCTTTTATTTTAATCACTCTTCTTTCTTCTAACCCCTGACAATCTTACATAGTCTCTTAGTTTGAACAAGTGAGCATTTGAAGCATTTGGAACTTGACTCTAGAAGCTGTCATTTTTAGCTAATAATTTGCTAGTAGTCTGGGTATTTCTATTGGTTTCAATACATGTCTATAAAGAGGTGATATTCTGTGAATCTCCCCGTGATTTCTTGATAGTTAGGTTTAGCTGTAGTGTGCTACCTATTTATCTGTCTAGGACTAGTCCATGAAGCTTGCATAATGCAGCTGAACTTTAGACTAAACCAGTTCAGTTAAACAAGCACTGTAATCAAACTATTGCAGCAGTGGCAAGGCATATTATTGTGGTTCAAATCTCTCTCTCTCTCTCTCTCAACATCATGAGTATTGCAGCATGGACAACTGATAAGAGGCATGATGTGTTTGTGTGCTCTGAGATATCTGAAGCTAAAGCCTTTGGCCTTTTCTGGAAATATTATTATGTGATGTGTAATTTGATTGTTCTTCCAGTTAATCTGTATTTTCCATCTGAGCAGCTTAGCATACTCTGTTGTCTTTGAATTTAAAATGCATACATAAATAATAGCCATCTTCCTTAACAAGTTTTGTTTTATACCTGAGTCCACACAACTATTCTTTAGACTGGCT